ACCCTGACCTCTATCAGCCCATGCGTGACCTTCTGACTCTACCATATAACCTTTGACCTTCTCTTTGACAGCTTGATTAATTACCCTGTGTTATGATTTATGAGTAAGTGCTATGTAAAAATAATAGACAACAGGTGGTCCTCTGAAAACTTTTTGTGGCATGTTTTCTTTCACTGACTAACTTGATGATCTATTTGAAGTAGGAGACTTATCTAGGATAATCTATGTTGGTCCATACTACAGTTATTTTATATCTTGCATACAGCATGAAAATTCGTGAAACTGCCAATTGAAGGATAATCCTGATGAATATTTTATAAAATATTTGGAGGGTGCACCTTAATGCATCTTGAGAAGCCCAAAAGGGAGTCAGGTGACATTTCAGGCATTTCAGTGCCAGGTCACGTCTTGAGAAAATTGCAGAAATAATAGAGGGACATTTTCCAAGCAGAGCTGCAGCTCCAACGCTGTGTTTACTTTAACGCTTCACTAGTGACTTCTGATTGGCTGTCATGACCTCATCTCATTGTTGCACCTAAGTTGTTGCAACAGTGACATATGCATATCGTTCTTGGGAAGACGAGAGTAAGCATAACATAGCTCTTTCAGAAGAGATGAATGGACAGCTGTTTGTCCATTTTAACTGTGGGTAGTTATGGATAACACACTTGGAGTTTCATTTGCCTTGAGGTTGAACACCTGTCTTCTTTCAAGCGAAGCAGGTAGAATGCTGAACTTGAAGAATATGATTGATTTATCTATGTAAAATGATCTCCTACAGAGCTTTGCCTGGAGACTGAAATGGATAGTTCCATGGGTCAAAAGATTCTAGTGTGACCCTTGACCTCTCTGGTCATATGTGGCTTCAAGTATTGGCAAGTTAATGTGCAGAGCTGAGTACTTTCAGTTGATTTTTTTTTTATTTAGCCACACACAAGAGATTTTAAAAGCTGTAGAATTTGCCCCTATTTTCCATTCTCTTTATAATTGGTAATTAATACACAAACTTTGATAAATCTTTAGTTTTTATAGTTTCATTTGGGGTGAAAAGTAGTTTTTTTAACAGCTGTTTTTAGGTTTCTGTCAACACATTCTTGATAAGTAAATTTCTGTGCTGACTTAATATCTCTAGCAAAGTTTCCTGTGTGTCCTTTGTGGTGGACATCACCTATCTGTTTCAGCCTATGCCACTGTTTGCTGATGGAATGATAAATTATTATTTATTAGTAAGTGCATTTTAGTCTTCACAGTAAGAGATCCTGGGATCCTGTGTTTTTTATGTTAATCACAGCAAATAGTTGTGTTTAAAAAGAATGCCATGTTTTAGCACTAAACCTTTGTGTGAACCTCAGGTTAAGATCCTGTAATTTAGAATTTATAAATACAGACCTGTAAATGAAACCACAGTTATACTTCCACATGCATAGAAATGGAGTCTTCGGAATTAAACTTGTATTTGTATTCCTTTTAATTAAACTTGTATTCCTTTTAAACTTGTATTTGTCTACTTGAATATCTTTTTGATCTATACTGCAAGTCAAACCTAAGAGTGAGTTAACGACTTTTGCGTGCATATTGAAAGCGATTTAGTAAATCATTGTAAAAGATGTTCTAAGCCTTATGGAGTTGCATTTTTAGATAACCAGTTTAATAATTTTATCTTGTTAAAAGTAACAGAAGAGCTTTCCACGTGTTTTTGGAATGCTGCAACTTCGCATCCTATGGGACTTTCACATATTAAAAGAAAGGTTCAATGTAGCATTCAGGATTCTAGGCCGATGTTATAAGGATCCCTTGTTAAGGGGAGCAGTACATAGTTCTTTATAATACACTTAATGTCTGATTTTATTTTGTAGTTTTATAAAACTTTAATAAAGATCACATTAGCAATCTTTTTTACTTAGCTTACTGTATATTATTGAATTATTGAGAATAGAATTATTTTTAAGTCACTATATGTTCTAGTTGTTGAAGTTTAAGTTCTAAAAAAATTGTTGATGATTTGTCTCTGCTTTGTCTTACTTTATTTTCTTTGACACCTTGGTTGCTATATATTAGTGTTGCCATTATCAAAGTCTTTGAATCTTATATAAAGGTATTCTCGACATTGTATGTAAGAGAGAAAGGAAAGGACAGGTGAAGTTTGGGTATATGTCTGTGGTTAGAATGTAAGTAAGACAATGCAAATACCCATGCGGGCTTTATTCTACTTTTTATAAACTTGTTAAAACTGACCTTTGTACCTGAACATTGTACCAGTTTATTATGAAAATCATAATTCAAAATACTAGTATTTTCATGATCAGAATTGTAATTAAATTTGCAACTCTGACTTTTGAAGGAAATATTTATGATTATTAGTGATCACTATTATTTTAATTAAAATGACAATTTGAAATATCTAAAGGACAAAATATTCTTTAAATTAAAGAATTTTTTAATTTTAAATTAATTAAAGACAATAATTAAATTGTTTCAGAATTTATTACTGACGTTTAAATTTTTAAAATTCTCAAATTGATTTACATTTTGATTTTAAAATGGTATCATTTTTCTTCTGTTGATGCCTCAGTGAAAAATTATCATTGTACCTTTAGAAAATTGAATAAATGAGTCATGTAATTCTCAGTTACATAATCAATAACTTTGACAAATACTACTTCTTTGATGAATTATGGATGTATATAGTTTATATTTATTTAGATGGGACATCTCACATTTTGGAATCCATTTAAAATCAACTAGGTTCAAGGTTTTTGGTTTGTTTTTTTTTTTCAGTCTGACTTCCAAAAATGAGATCAAAATGTTCATAGGGTCTGATGATATGGAGATGCCCAGAGGGGTCTGACGGTGCCGAGATAATAGCTAGGTGATTAAGTTATATATCAGTTTAGTAACTCTGGTGATTGTTAGATTTGCTCAGTTGTCCTCATTTCTAATCCTTGTTATATTATTATATTAATTATCACATGAGCATCATCTAATATAATCAATAATTAAAGTGTCACTTTGTTGCCTAAGTTTGAATATTCCTATCATTATTAAATTGTGGTAATCAGTGCTTTTGCACCTCTTATGAAATTTAAGATTCTATTTCGGCTTTTTAACTTGTGTATGAGTATGAAAAGCTCTGTGTGTGTGTATGTGTGCACGCACGTGTGTTTGTCAGAAAAGGCAGGGAAGAAATGACAAGAGACCACTTACTCCCAGTACAGATCCAGTGGGGATGCAGTTTTCTTTTTGGCCTGTGGTGACCTTTAGAGGCAGTGTACTGAATGTCTGCATTTCACCATGGTTAGCAGAGTGTAACCATGCTCTTTAATTTACTTTGGTGGGAGGAGAAGGTATAGGTAAAATTTGAGACGGGCGTGAACAGTTGTAAAAGACACAAGGAAGAGGGTTAGGAACTTCCTTCAAATGTGATTTTAATAATTAGTCAAGTGTGTCCAACTGTAGAAAATCACCAAGTGACAATCTGTCTACCTGACAGAGATCACAATGAATTACAAGACGTTTGAATAGCTATACAGATTAGAATAAAGTGGGCCCAAATAAAATGTCTTTTGTTGGTAAAACTTTGACCCAACAACTAACAAACTTAAAAAAGAAAGTATGCAACATCTCTTTTGCCGTGAAGTAAAATGTTTAAATTCTTAAAACTACTTTCTAAGTGGTTCCTAAGTGGCATTTATGTAAAAGTTTTATTGAAGGATCTGTTGAATAGTGTGGTATTTTGTTCATCATGTTGGCATATATTATTAGACAGTTTCCACACGTATAAAAGGATTATATCTTAATTAATAGTCCTATCACAAAACCAGAACTCCAGTGATCTTGAAATTTCCAAACCAGCAATGGTTTTAGTCAACAATGTCCTCTGACGAGCCATAAAAGTGAAAGAATTCCAATGGCACTTGCAACTAGTTCATGAGACGAAACAAAAACAAAAAATCACAACCCCAGTGGACCATATCTCAAAGAACGAACTTGGGGCTATGTCAAGATTATACTGTCAGTATTTTTAAATATATCTTCTTATGTTTGGTTTTGTTTTTAAAAGCAGTTGAAATCTGAAATTCATGTACAAATTTCTATGGTTATAGTTTGAAACATTACATTTGTTTTAGTAAGGATGGAGAATTTACAAATTTTATTTTCTGTGCTCCTGATATTTTTGTCTTAATATATTACGTTTCTAGGTATGACCTGGAAGGGTCTTTTTACAAGATCATAATTAGGACATTCATAATACAGAATTGAATAGAAAAGACACATAAATTGCTTAAATGTTTTCCATTCTTCAAACTTGGTACTGGTTGCTGTATTTCTAATGTTTAGATTAATTCATCAGTTCAGTCTAAATGTCTGATGATTCTAATACCTGCAGAAATGTTTGCCTTGTAGAAGTGAGAAGCAGGAAAATATGTTTGAAATCTAAAGCCCTTATAGCTCAAAAGTTGTGATTTTAAACTTTGGAAATTTCAGTCTCCAGGCACTCATTCTTAAATAAGATAGCCTATTACTGTGACCTGAGACATGAAACAAATTTCAAGATTAAACAGTGTTTCCACTCATCGTCCTGTTGGTTTATTTTGCTCTGTGATTTCTTAGTCTTTCCGTATGGAAAGACAGTAAGGTCCAAGGTAGGTACACAGGTGATATACTTTTCTAAAAACACACATTTGTGGTTTGAGTGTATTCCCCTGTGTGGTAATTTATTTTAATCACACTGGGAATAGATTGTATTTTTCATTTAAAATTCATCCTTTTTCTCTGTTTTTATCCTTATAGATAATCTGTGCTTATTTGTCCATATAATAAAGGCAAACAATTTTAAACTTTATTTTACAAATTTAACATAGTTTTTGCTAAAAGAATATTTAGTAACTTGAAACTATATTAAATTACCTTGCCTAGGATGTTAGGAACTTCTTTCTTCATGGATTGAAATAAATTCTGATATCAGTTTGTACCACTTTTTTTTTTAAATTTCAAAACAGGAAGGGTATGGAGTCATAGTCCTGAATCCAAATGAAAACTATATTGAAGTGGAAAAGCCAAAAATGCACAAACAGTGGTCTTCTGATGGCACGGATGAGCCAGCAGAGAAGCGGGAAAGGAGAGATAAAGTCTCAAAAGAAACAAAGAAGCGCCGTGATTTCTATGAGAAGTACCGTAACCCCCAAAAGGAGAAAGAAATGATGCAGTTGTTTATCAGGGTGAGAAAGTGCTCTACTTCGCTTCACTGCCTCTTTGCTTTTTGTAGGATTTCATTTCATATCAATCATTTTATTGTCTTAAAATTTATTGATTCTTTAGTTTTTAGTGAACATTTATTTTCCATGGTTATTGTCTGCTTGGATGGGTTTTTTTCCCTTTTTAATTAAAGTTACAAGACCTATCACTCTTATTTTCATGCAACATTTTATAGAGTCGCTAAACAAATGCTGTTGTCTTTTATGTCATTTGCTGTTTCAAGGAACAGTTTCTAGTTTTAATATGATACAGGCAAAAGGAAGAAAACTCTTTAATGCAATTCTCCAGCATATTACTACTTCAATGTCTTATGAGAATAAATATAACATAATAATTCTAAAACAAGATGTAAAACTATATTCATCTGGGGTGGCAAGTTTCACCAGATGATGTTTGTGAACAACTATCCATCCATAGTGTCTAAGTCCCTTCAGAGGGAAAGTAACTAATATTTCAGTAAATATTTCAGCTTGAACCGTCCAGGGGCAGTGCAGTAAGGGGGTCACTGGTGTTTGCTCTTGTCACACCCACTGAGTGTTTGCATAGCATCATGGGATCCCTACAGTGGTGCCACCCAAGGGCACAGAGTTCTGTAGTAACACACAAGAACATTTTTTGTGCTTTGACGTATTCTTTGATGACACGAGTGTGTGCTATTTTTAAAGGTGTATATTTTGTTTTCTAGAATTTAACAGTAAAGCATTAAAGAAAATGCTGCTGGAAGAGGGAAGATAGGAAGTTGATACATTCTTTAAAGTTGAACAATTCAGTACACTTAAACTTACAATTTAATGTTTTTTGTCTATAGAGATGATTGAGGAAAAAACAAGAGTCACTGTGTATCCCAGATTGGCCTGGGACTTCTATGTGATCCAGGCTTCACGTAAATTTGTGTGATGTTCTCGTCTTTCCCTGCTGGCATTTTTGTGTGAGCCACCAGACCTGGGTGGAACCTGTAGGGCAGTAGTAACATTTTAGAATATTCGACTTGACCTATGTTCACATTTATCCTTAAAAGATTACTAATTAAATATTTCATACCATCTTTGAGGTAATATTCATTGATTACTGGTTTCCTTTTCCTTTATCTTCATTTATGACATGGCAAAGTTTTCTTGTTTTAGAAATTGAGCATTAACAGCAGTCTTTTGTTGGAGTATTGTGTTAACTTTCAAGACTCTGAAATCTGTATCCTAACCAGGAATACACAGAATATTTAATACTGTGAGTCAGAATCATTAGGGAGATTATAATATTTCAACTTTTGCAAATCATCTCACTGTTTAATAATTATTAAATTTAAAGTCTCTTAAGTATTCTGTTTGTCCTATTGTGGATATATGAAATCTTTGTCCAACTACACCAAAGTTTTGATACTGGCTTTTTAGTCCATCTGGTGTCCTTAAATTTTTGCCATATCATCCAATGTGTAAATATCATTTGTGATTAAAGTGCTCTCATATCCAGATTCCAAAAATGACTTTTGTAAGACTTTTTGAATACACAGATCATAAATAGTCTTCATGTGTGTATGTGAGATGTAAGCAGCACAGTGACTTGGCAATGTTAAGATGTTTATTTCTTCATTGTTGGCTTGTAATTTGTATGGATTAAGAAGTGTCTCGAGCACCCATTGTAAGAGTCACTTCTCCTTTGCCTTCCAGTCTGTCTTGGCAGCACTGCTTGGGTTTTCTCTCTGTTTTTATATGTATGTTTTCTTTATTTCCTTCATCTCTGCAGCTCTGACTATACTCTGTTGTTTACTAAAACTCAGTCTCTTTTGTTTTGTTTTTTACTTTTCATTTAATTCTTTTCTAATTTTTATACTGTAGGTATTTTTACTCATTTTCCATTTTATTTACTTATTTATGAAAGAGGAGAGGATTGGCTTTTCTTTTTTGTTCCATTTGGCCCAAAAGAGGTTCCCTTTTACAAATACTCATCTGCATCACACAGGTTTGTATGTGGCTCTTTGAGTTAATATCATATTTTCTTAACACTGTTTCTCTTAAAATCACCTAGGATTGTGCATAATAGCATGTATATGCTGAAACACTTCAGCATACTTCTGAATGATAAGACTTTGCTCTAAATGGGAAAAAGATTGTCTCATTTATTCTAAGATAAAAAGTGATCTACCCAAGAAATTATTTTTTCCTTCTACATGTCTCCAAATATTACCAGAGCATGGTATATAAGGAGGAGAATTAACTATTATTTATACTCTCCTTAATCATTCTTGTTTAGAATTTCTCATCTGTTCTTTGAGAGGTTTATATAATACGTTTTGGTCATATTCTCCACCCCCAAACTCTTCCTATATCTACCCATCCTACTTTGTGTCCTTTAAAAGAAAAATAACCCATTTGGACCAATTTATATGCTGCACAAGTATTCTTAGATGTGTCATCTTCCACTGGAGTATGGTTAACTAACCAGGGACTGCACTCTTAGACAAAACTGTGTCTCCTTTCCAACAGCTAACAAGTGCCAATAACGTCAGATTAGGAGTAGAATTTAATGTGTAAATCCCATTAATGTGATGGGATTTGGTCTGTTTTGGGTAGGGCCCATTACCTGTCCAACCATAGATTCTTGAACCAATAATAGTGCCAAGTATGGGTTTCATCTTCTGGAACAAGTCTTACATCCAGTCAGAAATTGGTTGGTTACAGTTAAGTGAACTGATGCACAGGTTACAGTCCAGAATCACATAGCTAGGAACTGGTAGAAATATATGTTCAAATCACGTAATTAGTATGGACTTTTGTCCCTATACATCTATCTTTACCACATTGTCCTTCCCAGAGAAAACAAATTATGGAGCTAAAATAAGAAAATTAAGTATATGTGGTAAAAATACGATATGGTATAGTCATATCTGATGGTTATAAATATTGAATTTTTCAAAAAATATTAGGTTTACTTTTAAATGTTATGTGTGTGCATGTTTTGCCTGAATGTGTGTATATGTTCCATGTATGTGTATTGCCCCCAGATATCAGAAGAGGGCATTGGAGCTTCTGGAACTGGAGTTACAGATGGTTTGAGCCACCATGTGAATGCTTGGAACTGAACCCAAGTCCTCTTCATCAACAGCAAGTGCTCTTAACCTTTGAGCAGTTTCTTTACTCTGTGCGTCTGTGCGTGTGTGCGTGTGTGCGTGTGTGTGTGTGTGTGTGTTGTATGAATGTGGGTCCACACATACCACATCCTGAATGTTGAGGTCAGAGGACAACTTTGGAGAGAAGTTCTCTTCTACAAAGTGAGTCTTAGGTATTAAACTCGGGTCGTCAGGCTTGGCAGCAAGCTCTTTTACCCACTGAGCCACCCCACCAGTCTTAATCAAAGATTTCTGACCAGCTGTAAAGAATAGACAAATGTGTTCTTGCTTAGTAGGATAACCAATATTGATTCAGATTTATTGATAAGGAGACTGTGATCAGGATAACATAAACTCTAGGGGGGTCAAAACTTAGTGTACTTTTGCTCAGCACAGTTTCCTCTGAGCCTAAAGGAGATCAATCATAATATACATTTGTAGAATAGAGTTGTCTCAATAAAGTTTTAATAAGATGATAGAGCCATTCATTAAAATCCCAAAGTACAGTTGCTTTAAGTAAATCCTACAATGTTAACATATATGACTTGATTTTTTTTATGTGTAGTTGCATTTTAACTAAAACAAACAAACAAAAAACTATATTACCGGTATCCTATCCAGTCCAGCACCCACGATAAGATTCAAAAAAGTAAGTAATATTTCATTAATTAATGTAATTAGTGTAAGATTTATTGTTGATGGATTTAAACTTTCTTACTTGAATGTATAAAAGAGTATCCTGTTTTCTTTTTTTAGCCATTTTGTCAGTACTAAAATTATGGATGGAAGTGGAAATATTTCGTGCTTAGCCACAGTTATTTCCATTTCACACATCTGCTCACATTTACCCTAATGGTGTTTGCTTTACACATTTGCTCTACTGTGTATACACTTGGTACTTTGTCAAATCTGCAACTTTGTTTCCTTTCTTTTCCCTTAATCTGGATTCTACCCAGATGAAACATTGCCTCCTTGCCACTATAGTAATAGCTGGTGCTTTCCAAAACCTCTGAAAATAATAACAAGTAGTTAGCCTCTGCACATCTTATCATCTGCTATTTTGAGGTAGCATTTACATTTTTGTTTCATAATTTTATTGTTAATACGTTTACATTTTATTTCTTTACATAGGTCTCCCGATAATCCTCTAAATTTCTGAGTATACCTCCTACCTTTTCCCATTGTGTTTCAATCCTTAACAATAAGCAGATAGAGACACTTTTTTCAGTAGTGCAAAGTAAGTTATAGGAGAATCAGGAAACACTAAACACTAACAGAAATACTCAATCCACTTATTACTAGTTGATCCCTGAAAAGAAAGCAAACCAAGAAGACTAGATCTTGGTGTAGACATAACTAGATAAACTTGCCTTCAACATAGAAGTGAAGATTATTAGATATCAAATGAGCTTTTTATAACAGGATTAAGATCTGTTCATAGAACTTACAGAATAAAGGTAGAATACAGGTAGGTAGACTAGATGTTGAATTTCTAACATTGTGTTGTGACTGCTTGGACATCTCTCATCTAAGGTGAGATGAAGGGGTGGTCTTGCTGATGGCACTTGAAGGAGGTTTAGAAAGCATGAGAAATTAACAAACAATCTACTGAATTTGGAGATAAGAAGGGAAGTTACATAGCCATCAAAGAAGAAGTCCAAATGTAAAGAAGACTATTGGTGAAATTATTTAGGCCTCTCCACATAGTTAAAAGGGAGGTATATTTTGTGGGGTAACTTACAAATGAAGGGATAGTTTGCAGGGTCTGGAAAAGGTATGGCGCAGTCCAGCGGTGTTCTCTGGAGAACTCTGCTTGGTCTACCTCCAGCGTCCAGGGTCCAGGAACCAAGAGAGCCAGCG